AATGTCCGGCAGGAGCACTCAAGTCAGCGCTAATGGTTTCCTGTCTGCACTCAGTGACCAGTGGCGGATTCTCTCTCTCTCTCTCTCTCTCTCTGTAGGGGAAATCCCTCTGCTTTCCATGCCTTCATTTGCATGCTGCCGCTTCATGCAGTCTTCAGTGCTTTCATCTTCCCGTCCTCCAGAACCCTCATGAACCCTGTCAAGCCATGAGCAGCTAATTAGAAAAGTTAAAACAGCAATTGGATTCTTGTCATTTAGCGGATATTTTACCAGTGACCAAAGCAGCACTTTCCCAGCATCCAGCTTCAGAGCGCAGCGGTGATGGAGGATAAATCCAGCCTGTGAATCTCTCAAAACAGATTCCATGAAAACAAACTGAATATTTTTGCAATTTACAACCAAAACTGTAACGACATAGCATGGGGGGACTGCAGGGTTTTGACTTTGATTGGCTGGATTTCAGAAGCATAGTGATAGTGCTGTAATCAGGGCCTTGAAATCAGTCTCAGGTCATCAGACGCCCCATAGCATTCTTGACGAATATCTCCTCCTCTTCATCTGTGTGACCCTGTCAATACTCCTGCTACATCAAAGACAGAGACGAGGCTTTGAGCCGCTGGTGCCTGGAAACAACTAAAAACTTGCACACACATATATACGCAAAGAAATGTCTAGAAAGAAATGCCATTTGTCACCTCAAAATCAAAAATGAAAAATATAAAAACAACAACTTATTTTAAAAACAACAACAAAAATCCTACCAACCTCAAATTTTAAATGGTAGTGTGCATTTCATTTACTGTACCAAACATCTCAAAATCAAAAATGAAAAATGAGAAATGTATTTTGCATTGATATATTATTATATATAAAATTATATGATATAAAATTAAACATTGTTTTATTTTCATGTCAACTAAGTACAAATTTTCATAATTGTAAGGTGAAAATAATAATATTAACAATTATTATTATTATTATTATTATTATTATTATTATTATTACCTATATGATAATAAGGTAATGAATCAAATACCAAAAAACGTTCACTCCAATAAAAAATGAAAAATTTTACCATTAAACATATTTCATAGTTCATATTTTAATTATGCTACCAACTGTTCAGCTGACACAACTATGAAAATCCAACCTTTCAAAATAATTTCTGCTTATAAAAATCTCTTTGAAGACATGTTATGAAAAATATGCAAAGATGTCCACTAGGTTTCTTACTTGCTGTATGTCATTACTAAATTACTGAATCACTTAGGGTTAGGGTTAGAAAGTGAACGAGAACCATAAATCACAGATATCTGGCAAGATTTAGCTGGATTTACATGTGTATGAGTGTGTGTGTGTGTGTGTGTGTGTGTGTGTGCTGATTAAATTATTATTATTATTATTATTATTAATAATAATAATAATAATAATAACATCAAACCTATTCAAAAATAATTTTCAGTAATTTAAATAAAATAAAAAAATATCAGATGAGAAAAAAATTTAAAACGTAAAATTAGAAACTAAACCTATTCAAAAAATTTATTTTTGGTTTGAATTTTTTTTGTTAATTGAAAAAAAAAAAGAAATGAAAATATAAAAAAATAAAGAAAAAAAGAAAAAAAGAAAAAAGAAAAAAAAGAAAAGAAAATAGTTTTTTTTAAATGTAAACCAAATTTGAAATTTAGAAATTAGAAACTGAAATAAAACAAATTGAAATTTAAGTACTAAAATTACTAAAACAAACTAAAATTTAGCTAAATAGAAATATAAAAAAATAATAAAAGTGATAAAAGCATATAATAAATTCACTAAAACATAAACTAAAATTAAAACAAAAACTGACAAAATAAAAAATATTATGTTTCTTCTCTGAATCAAATAATTATTGAAGCTGATCACATGACTCTTTGTACAGACACTCATCGTCTTGCTTCCACTGAAGCAAAAAATTCTCTTTGGATCATCTCAAATCATGCTGGAGAACATGATTATCAGGATTTGTTCATGTCATCATCTCATGTCGTTTTTATTTCTTTAAAGAAAAAAAACATCAAATTCATCATAATGTTTCAGTTCAGATTAGAAGTGTTGTTCTTTATGCAAACTGTAATTTCTCATTTGATTTTGGAGTGAAATAACCAGGACATTTCTCTACAGTTTTCATGAGATTCACCCACACACACATGCTCTCGCTGCCTGACATGAATGAAACATGAGTCAAAGTGTGACAGACATGAATGTTCTTGTTTGTGAGAAATTTTTACAGAAAGTGAGGGAGAACATATAAGAGTAAAGATGTGTTTTGTGTGAGCTCAGCTCTGGGCCAGTCTGAAAGTGTGTGTTGATACTCACGTGTACACACACCCACACACACACACACACACACACACACACAGCATGTTCAGTAGGTTTTATAATCCCGTTTCAGCTCCATACAGCACACTAGGCTCCAAATTCAAAGCAGCAGTCAGCCTCCAGCAGAGATTTGTCGGTCATGTGCTGGGCTAGAGAGGCTGTTTTAATGAGTGTGCAGACTGAACACTAATGAGCTGACTTTAATAAGGGGATCTAATGAGTGAGTTGCCACGGTAGCAGGTACCCGGAGTGTGGTGTGTGCTGTTTTGCGGGACACGTGCCTCTATGAACCAGACAGGCGGTCAGGAACATAAGTGTGTGCTAGGGAAAAATCAAGAACCTATTAATGTTGTACGTAACACTTTATATGGACTTTCATTAATCATTCATTATAGTTATTATCAAACTTATCATCAATTCTTAATAATGTTATAAAATATTTATTATAAACACACACACATACAGTATATATATATATATATATACTGTATATACATACATACATATATATATCAATGTTTTCACAAAAATATGGAGCAGCACAAGTGTTTTAAACATTGATGATAATAATGATAAATGTTTCTTAAGCAGCATATCAGCATATTAAAATGATTTCTGAAGGATCATGTGACACTGAAGACTGGAGCAATGATGCTGAAAATCAGTATAAGTGATAAGTAAGTAATGAAAATCAATAATAAATTACACTTTAAAATATATAAAAATAGATAGCAGTTATTTGAAAATGTAATAATATTTCACAACATTACAGTTTTTACTGTATTTTATTTCAAAATCATTTTGAAATATTTAATAAATATTCAAAATATTTGATCAAATATATGTATATAATAATCAAATGAATGTATAAATATATAATATTAATTTGTTATTTTATTATTATTAATTTGTGTTTATTATATAATGTTTAAAAATATAACATTATTGTAAAGTGCTACCATATTAAAATAGAATTTCTTTGCAGCTCGTATGATATGGACATGAGTAGATATAAAAAAATGGAATTTGGTTCTTATTCAATAAGAAACAAAAGTGTCAGAATTAGGGATGCACCGAATGTTCGGCAACCGAAATTATTCGGCCGAAAATAGCAAAAAAAACTCTTTCGGTGTTCGGCCGAATAAGCGAAAAGACAGAATAAATTGTACCGAACAATGACATGACATTGTCAGGAAAGGTAAAGCAACACTGCTGGAGGAGAAATGTGTACCATCTACACCATCATTACAGCAACAAACACACACACACATATATAATAACTCTTACATTATTGCTCAAAGCAAGCTGTCATGGTTAAAGGTCTACAACTAATGCTTTAACAAATGCTTGTAGCAATCTTGAATTTTAAGAACGTGGCTGACGGCAACAGAGGCGGCAGGAGTTTGGTGAATCTGGTGCTTGGCTTCCTACATAGACAATATTTTTGGGTATCTTAGTGTAGACT